TTAGGCCAGGGAACGGCAACCTACGGCACGCGTGCCACATATGACACGCCAAGCGATTTCCAACAAGTCAAAGTAATCATTCACGATATTCGAATAAAAAGAAAGAAAGAAAGAAAGAAACAAACAAACAAACAAACAAAAGAAAGAAAGCAGTGAAGGAAGGAAGACAAAATAGTGCAGCAAAAAAAAAAAGAAAAAAGGAAAGAAAGGCAACGACAGAAGAAAGAAAAACAATGCGGTAAAGAAAGAAAGAAAGAAAGAAAGAAAGAAAGAAAGAAAGAAAGAAAGACGCCTAATTGTTCAGGCGATTCGTAATCATTGAAGGAACGTGCTATTGATAATAAAGGGAGGATTCAGGATTTCTTAATAGTATTAAATAAATAAATTTAACGAATGAGGAAAGAGAAAACAGAAGGGTAACGAACGAAGAAAGAAAAAAGAAGCAAAGAAAGAAAGAAAGAAAGAAGCCTAATTGGTTAGGCGATTCGTAATCGTGAATGAACGTGCCATTGGTAGTAAAGAAAGGATTTCAGGATTTCTTAATAGTATTAAATAAATAAATAAATTTAACAAAGAAAGAAAGAAAAATAGAAAGGCAAAGAAAGAATAAAAGAAAGAAAGGATTTCAGGATTTCTGTACAAGGGGTCGACTCGAGATGAATTGTTACGATAAGAGATAGTTTAAACGGATAGGAGGGGAAGATAACGATTATCTCTAGACTTGAAAAGGTTAAGATTGTTGTGATTAGGGGAAACATCCTCTTGGGAGTCAGTTCCACAGAGCAATGAGCCGCGGAAAGAACCTGTTCGAGTGGAACTTACTTCTCACCGATGGAATACGGAGGGAATGTGGGTGATTTGCTACTATGTAAGTGGCATAGCGGGTCCTAGCCGGGAAGGTTAAACCTGGCGGAATATAGTTCTTGCGAACACTTTCCATGGAAGTAGTGATAAAGGCTCACCACATCCCGCCTGTGTGAGAGAAAATACGCAGTATTATTAAATAAATAGATAAATACAAGAAAGAAAGAAAGAAAGAAAGAAAGAAAGAAAGTATGCACAAAAAAAAGCAAAAAAAAAAACTTTAATTAAATATAGAAAGAAAGACAGCGAAGAAAGAAGGAAAAAGGAAAAAGACAAGGAATGATGGAAATAAAGAAATGAAGACAGTGAAGATAAAAAAAGAAAGAAAGAAAGGAAGAAATAAAAAAAGAAAGAGAGAAGATGGCGAAATAATTTGAGGGAAAATAATCGATTTTGAATCAATTTCATTTGATATTCTTAGATTGCCAACGACATTGCTCAAGCCAATTTTCATCCTTTTAGAAGCTAAATCCCCGTGAAGACTGATACCATTAATTGGCCAGCGTACAGTAGCAAGAGAAGTTTTAAGAAGAAAGAGAGAAAAAAGAAAGAGATGGGAAGAAAGAGAGAGAGAGAGAGAGAGAGAGGAGGAGGAGGGAGCGAACCACAGAAGAAGATAGAAAAGGAGAACGATGAAAAAAGAGAAAAAAATGAAAAGGAAGAGAAATGGATAAAAAGTGCAGAGAGGGCGATTGAATGGGAAAGAGAGGAAAGAAATGAAAATAGGGAGTAATCGAAAGAGACAGGAGTTGAGAGTGAGATAGAAAGTGTGTAGATGGTAAAAGAGTGTTGGAATGAGGTAGCAAAAAAAAGAAAAAGAGAGAAATGGAAAGAAAGAGAGAAGCAGAAAGGGAGATAAATGGGAAAGAGATGGAAAGAGAGGAAAGAAAAGAAAATAATGAGAAATCGGAAGAGAGAGGAGCTGAGAGGGAGATAGAAAGTGGGGAGATGGTAAAAGAGTGTTGGAATGAGGTAGCAAAATGAAGAGAGAGAAATGGAAAGAAAGAGAAGTGGAGAGGAAGATAGAAATGGTGAGAGAGAGAGAGAGAGTGAAATAGAGAGAGGTAGGTGAGAATGAAACTGAGCGATCTATGGGAAAAAGTTTTTGCTGCCTGACATATCCAAGGTTGATGACGTGCGCAAGCACCGACTAATGATGGTGTCCGTATCAGATGACATCCCTGATCAAATTGAAAGCTTTATAAATACGAAACAAACGTTGATTTGGGATTAAGCATTGGTTTTTATGAACGCCGCTCAAAAATGTTGTTTATCAAAGATTACCTGAATTGTCAAAGCATAAGGGGGAGGTTAAATTAGAATTTTGAGGGATACCGATAAAAATCAGAAAAAAAAGGGTTAATCAATCTTCTATAGTATGCCGCTTTAAATTGCCGCTTAAATTGCAAAAACGAATTTAATCAGTGACATTTTCTTTCTTCTGTAAATGCTATTTTCTTAAAAGCAGTAAGGGTTCATGGGGGTGACAGAACTAATTTCAACTCGAGGGTAATTTTCAGTTCAAGCCCAACGCTCAATTTCTAATAAAAATTTCCCAAATAGTTCCATTTAGGTGTAAATGTACATGCTTAATTCGAAAATATCAAAGACATTTTGATAAAATCTACCATTTTGGAGTTATCGATAATAAAAGTTCGGACTCAGTCGCCTTACGGTTGGTGAAGTTGAAATTCATTCTGCATCACCCGCCTTTGTCTAATTTATCGAGAGAGATATTAGACATATTGTAATGTTATTAATTATTAAACTACAAGTTTGTTTTTTTTCAAAATTACTTGTATTTTTTAAATAGTCACAGTTTGTAAAAGTGTTACTTACAAAATTATAAATGCTTGTATAAATAAATAGCAGTCGGAATTGTACAATTTTGCATCAGATTTTAATTTTGATACAAATCTGACTAGTTTTAGAATAGGTCAATGCTTTACCAAATCCCATCCATCTCAGCGAATTGAAATTTTATCAGTTTTTGTATTCAATGATCAATCAATTAATATCCAATAATAATCGTTATCGCACAAAAACAAGAAACAAAAACAGTAAGGACTTTTAAAGTTGAAAATAGTTCTTTGGGTGTCAGAACTAATTTCAACTCAGAACCTCAAAAGAGTAATTTGCAGTTCAAGCCCCGCGCTCAGTTTCTAATAAAAATTTCCCGAATAGTTCCATTTAGGTGTAAATGTACATGCTTAATTCGAAAATAACAAAAAAACTTTAATAAAACCTACTGTTTTGGATTTATCGACAATAAAATTTCGGACTCATTCGCGTCGCGGAGGGTAAAGTTGAAATTAATTTTGCATCCCATTCATGGTTCTCTCTATTTTTTTTCTTTATTATCTGTGGATTGCAATATAATCTTGGGAAAGATAGTGGAGTAGTTTCTCGTTGCCCTCATCACGCTTTGGAATTTATTCTGTCCTTCTTTTAGATTGGTTGTCACCCAACGATAGCTACCTCTATCTACCCCACCAGATTCATGAGATCTCAAATACATTATTTTTTAACCGCCCTGTGGTGGCACTAAAAAGCGCGTTTTGTAGAGTCCCGTGGCATAAGCATAGGGATCATACCGACAAGTGTCTAAATGGCGACTAGGATACGTGTCCAAAGTGTGACTATTACAAGTGTCCCAGTATCGACTATAAAAATGTTCAAATGGCAGCTATAATAGGTCTCTAAATGACGACTCTAACAATATCCAAATGGCGACTATAACAAGTAACCAAACGGTGATTATGTCAATTTGCAAAATGGCAACAATGACAAGTGCAAAAATATTGATTATAACAATGTCCAAGTAGTGGATGTAAGAAATGTCCAATGGCATCGTTAAATATTTGAATTTTAAAAAAAAAACATTAGCAAAATTTTGCAACGATTAATTTGTTGATTTGTTTTTTAACAGCATATCAACACCTTTATGGGCCATTTAATGCCGAAATTTAATTTTCTTGGGTTCTTTGAAGTAATAAAAATATGATATATATTATTATACTTCTACAGATGAGTACATGGTAGATTATACTCACCTTTTGTGCATATAGAGGTTTGTGTGGACAGGATTACTAGAGGCGGCGATGTGTGTTTTATATTTTGTAGCTTTGTTGACGTTATATTTTGGAATACAGTTTGATTTCTTTAAGAAATTCTAGGATATTATATGGAATAATTTCATGAAAGAGTTCATTCGTGCTTGTTGTTGGGTTAGTTGATTTTGTTTGGTGGCATATCAACATCTATGGGTTATTTAATGCCAAAATCTAAATATTTTTTCCATAGTTTTATGCTTCCAGCTACAAATATTTTGTACATGCTTTTTTACTTATAGTAAAGGTAGTTTTTTTAGATATGTGTTTTTTGGATCATAAAATGTATTGCTGGTAATTCTACTATAAAATGTACTGTTGATTTTGGTTTTGGGTGGGGGTCACTATTTACCCATAGTTGAGACATTAACGGGTGCTACCATTCCAGGTCATGGTAGACCTGGGAACAATAGCAATTAAGAGATGATTGCACACTCCTCAAAACCTTCAATCTTCCAATATTGCATCTAGATGTAAAAATATTGCAATAACAATCATAATTATGAATTCAGGTCATTATTTAAAGAAATACTAAGATACAAATGAAAAGATTTAAAACTGACAAAGTTTTCCATTTCAGACATTAATCAGATGAGAGCATTATCGTCTCCTCTGTCTTCTTCCTTTTTTTTTTTTTTTTTTGTAAAGGCAGACAGCATCTCTTGATATATCTTTTCCTTCTGTTTTTCCTCACACTAAAAACGGGATGGTCCATTATTTTTCCGGGGTAATGGCAGAGCATAGTTTGCCCAAAGTGCCAACACTAGAGTAAAAAGGAAAAGATTTAAAACTGACAAAGTTTTCCATTTCATTGAAGCAGACATTAATCAGATGAGAGCATTATCGTCTCCCCCGTCTTCTTTCTATTTTTGTAAAGGCATCTCTTGATATATATTTTCCTTCTGTCTTTCCTCACACTAAAAACGGGATGGTCCATTTTCCGGGGTAATGGTAGAGCATAGTTTGTCCAAGGTGTCCAGCTTTGTGTCACATAATGACGATCGGTCTCATTACTCACAATCATCCAAACAAACAAGCAAGCCATTACTCAATAACGAGATGCATTAAACTTTTGGTAGTAAAACTAATATTTCAAAGTTCTAGATACAGCCATCCCACTTGTAATACTAAGTTCATCTGGCTCGCGTATGTAACAGGTAAAGAGTTAGCGTAACTGTGGCAGTGAAAATGTGGCAGTTATGGAACAGAGACAGGATTTAAAACCATCGAACTGTGAAAAATTATACCTGAAAGATGGGACGCCTTTTCACCGAGGTAGCAATTGAGTTAGGCTTTTCTCTGCTTTTTTTTTTTACCTATTTATTTTTTTAAATTTTTACAAGGATTATTTGAACTTCGAAATGACACAAGTGGCACATGAAGACTGTGAGATGCAAAAGGTGTAAAATCAGATGGGGATGATGACTATCTTATGGAGGGACAACATATGTGAGTTATAGTGTAGCGGATAACGGCTCGGAATGAGAAATCAGAGATCCGTGTTCGAATTCCAGTCGAGTACGTTACATCCACTTACGGGCAAATACGTTTGGGAAAGTTATAAATCTATCTTTTTCCCGCCAGCTATGGGTTGAAAAATAGAACAGTCTTATAGCCTTGGTTGGCAACCAGTCTACCGGTGAAAGAAATAGCAACCTGCTGCGGGAATATCTACTGCCTAGCTTGTATCAAGTATGGCACTAAACTGACTGAATGTACAACCCATTAGTGAACGCATTAGACAGTATTCAGTATATTCGACGAAGTTTTGTAGTATGTATATGTGTATCATCAGACTGTGGCATCGGTTACTGTGCATTAACAACGTCATTAGACAGTAAAAATTGACACCTTGTCACTTGGCGCGACAACAGACGTCTCCAGCGCTCTCAGATAGACGCACGAGTTGCTGTGTATAGGAGGGCGACTGAGGTTATGAATCCAGTCTATTAACAGAGTGTTGCACAAGCTCTGTGTACTTTTCCATCTTGCAAGTCTTTCCCTACAGATATAACTCAGCAAAAATTTCGCTACTCCCATGTCAAACGTTCAGACTATTGTCCCCATCTTTGTTGTTTTTATCACAACGTTTCGGCCGTTGTGTTCTCCGGTCTTCCTCAGGTGTATATCGATCTGGGTAACCTACAGGGAATTCTGAATTGAACCCTTTATTTAATCTACAGGTGTAGACTGTTCTCATTCCACTGCTCATGTCTACGGATAGCGTCTAGTCATTAATTGTATTGAGTACCGCTCAGTTATTGCTTGTCCGTTTTCACACAAATACACGCTACTCGGTATTTACCCGAAAACTCCCTACAAGACGGGATGTGGCACAAGGCCGGTTTTTTACGTGGGGCTATTCTGAACGCTCGTGCAAAAAATTCCTCGTAGACACCACATACACGTGGTCGGGAGGCGGTCTACCTCCCAAGACGAGACTCTACCTGTAAGCATAGTCGAGTCTGAGTTCCTCTCCGCCCGAAAGCAGCAAGGTCGTCACGCAGAATATTGGCAAAATACACGCTACTCGACCTAGGGACTGAATTCAAATCAATATATTACCAAATTTATAGTGAAACACAGTTGCCTTGTGTTCTGTGTGATGTTTTCTGTGTGATTAATCCAGGCGTTGAATATTACTGTCACATCCGATGCTTCTGTTATGTATTTAGGGATTCTTGATAAGATACAAAGAAGAACCTGCAATATTTTTGGTACTGACCAGGGATCTCTGCTGCATTTACTTTCACACCGTCGTAACATAGTTTCCTTGTGCATTTTCTATAAACATTTTCACGGTAATTGTTATGATGAACTTTCCTTTATGGTACCTAGACTTTAGGAATTTAAGTACTAGATTGAGGAGGTTACGGTAGAGTAGTGGATAGCGGTTTGAATTGAGGAACCAGAAAGGCAAGTTCGAATTCCAGTGAAATCCATTATACTGGGCAACAACAACAAAAAAACTTTTTTTTAAGTTGTCTATATTTTTCCAAATGATTTAGCACAATCTTTCACTGCTGAATCGGAAAATGACATCCGTTTCTCTCAATCAGGTCATGTTTT